TGTTGTGAGGGGCTGGAAGGAAATGCATGGGTAAAAATTCCTGAAGATTCCTGGTGACTTGCTGAAGACAATACTCTCAGTTAGAAAGTAGCTTGCATCTCCTGTATTTGACTTTATCCTTACTTGTGTGAGAGAATGCACTGCACTGGCAACAATCGTGTCGTATTAACCAGTTGTTTGGTCTCTTTCCGTTAGTGCCACATAAAGTGGACCAAATGTTTTTTTAAAAAAAAAAAAATCTAACGATCTCTAAATTACTCTTTCAGGCTTCTATGCCTTGTCTTTCCCACCCTTGTCAAATGGCTGGCTTCTGGGGCAGGTGCGCTCTTGGTTTTCACAGAAAGCAACATCTGTATCTTACTAAATCAATAGTGGCAGTTATTGCCACCCGCAGTAATGAAACTAATGCAGGGCAAGCTATGTCCCGCATTAACATGTGCAGCTTCATCTTTTCAGTTCTCTAGGATAGGCAAACCCTGGAGTGAGTCACCTGGATTTGCTCACAAGGGTATTGGCTAACGAGGGAGAGAGTGAGAGCAAAAGGGATTTATTTCTGGTACAGCTGTTTGGCCCTTGGTAACTCTGGGAAACAGCAGGGCACTAATGGAGGAGGTTTGCAGCACAGCTGACAGCTGCGTTGCAGTGAGTTTGCTCGTGCCTGTGCCTTGGGCCGCACCTCGGAACGGGCACGGGGGCCCTCGGTTTGCTGCCAGGATCAGTTGCCACGTGCCTCTCCCTTGGGGAGCAAGAAGCTGGAGTGAAATGTTCTGTACAGGAAGGATTTCCTGATGTGGCCTCAAAGAGGAGGGAGCTGCGGGTTTTGGAGAGAGGCTTCTGCTGTGGGGTGATCTAATGAGATGTTCTGTCTCTTCTCTTTCCAGGGTTGATTGTAAGTTTAGAGAAGGAGCTCACGCCCCTGTTTGAAGAATTGAGGCAGGTTGTTGAAGTTTCTTAACCTGATGGCATAGCCCAAGTTCAGCATCTCTTTGCAGCCCAGTGGGCAGAAAGATTCAATAATCCTCAGTCGAGTAACATGCCTCAGAAGAAATACCACATCTCCCTAGTATACTAAGTAAGAATAAATTGTACATAGTACTGAATCTGAAATGATCTACTAGTGTGTTGTAGATGGATGTTATTTTAGGCCACACTTCTTGTATTGTGCAGTACTGGAGAGACCACCAAAATAGCTCCCGTGGAGTTTAGCTCAGCCAGCTGAGCTGTTTCTATCAGCATGATGCTGTAGGTGCAAATGAGCAACTCACAGATCGTTTGCTGTACAGGGAATCAGGCATATGGCAGGACTTATCCTCTGACTAGCTACCACTGCATACTGGAAAACATTTAATTTGTTACAAAATGTTATCAAAGATGTGCTTGAAAAAGAATATTGTGAAAGCAAGTTTGCTAGCAGTGACGTATCAGTACAATCAATAAATACCCCATATTTCTCAGATTGGTGATGCTCTGGAAAAGGAGTTCTGTTAATCTGGATGTCGGCTGCATCCTGCTTCTATACAAGAGCTGTTCCTACAAAAGCTTTTGCTTCAGGGCTTTTCCTAGTGCCCAGAGAAGTGCCCAGTCTTTCACTTCATGGGTTTTTGTGTAATATAGGTGTGAAGTTCTTATGTCTCATACTCTTTGTGTGGGTTCATTACTGGTGACACTCTCAGCTCATTTACTCTTGGTTTTCCTAAGTAAATTTAAATAAAATATAGTATTTTTAAATGACAGAGCCTGGTCCATTTTTCTGTTGTGCCATAACATTCTATAACACATCCGACTTTGTGTAGAAAACCCGTCTTGATTGGTTATACTAAACCTGGGAGTTTACAGGTTAAAAACTAACCAGCATGTCCTTTGGTTGGATCTTACAGATGGATATCAAAGCCCTGTGTCAGTGTGCAGGTGCAGAAATTAATGTGTGACTGACTTCCAATTTGTAAGATCACTGGGGCTCAATCTCATGCCCTTCTCTCCCCTCGCTCTCCTCCCCCCCATCCCTTTGTGATGGCTCCAGTGTAGATTTTCAGCTCTGAAACTAAGCTCCCAGGTCTGAGAGCGCTGTGAGCAGACGTCTGCTTTCACCTGGGAAAAGTGAGGCTGTACCACCCCCCCGCCCCGCTCATTTGTACATTACCCACCTTCAGGATCAGGTGGGCTGGGGAAGGTGACTGTGTTTGGGCTCTGCTGGAGAGGAGGGCTGTGAATTCTTGGCTTAAAAACTCTTGCTGAGAATAACTTGTCAGTCAACGCTTTTCCATTCTAACTGAGCTCCTGGCTTAGGCTTTCTGTTGCTTATAATTACAGAAGCAGGTGGTAACTGAGTGCCAAGACATCTGTGTTTATTTGTGGCAAAACCACTTTTATGTCCTATCTAGAGCCTGCTCTTGCTGTTCATTAGTTTCTGTTCAACTAGGCCAATGTCCTGTCTGTGAATCTGCTTTTTAAGCCAAACGAGCTCCATTTCTGTGTTGGCTTCAGTTGGTGGCATCACGTGCTGAACTTGCTTCTAATGTTTTGTAACACGGTCTGCTTATATGAAAAGCAGGGCTGCTTTTGTGGCTACACTTCAAGTTTCATTTCCAAGCTGTTTTCACAGAACAGCAATACTGTTGGAGACTATCAGGTTTCTCTCCCCTTATGCTGCCTTTACCTCATGCAAACTCATCAAAGCTTTTTAATTAAATCACAGTTGTTAGTTTAAGCCACTTCTTTAAGGGAGAAAAAGACAAGCCTATTTTACAAAGCCTTAACACTACAGTACAGAAATACCAGAAGACTTCTACAAGATTTATAATGACATTTTATTCAGAAAAGTCTGTATGAAAATATTTACAAATATTTGGCATTTTTTTTAGTTGAAATAAGATGCTATTCCTGTGTCCAAATCTGGATTCTCTTTTCTTCCAGGGTTTTTTTTCCCCTTTCCCTTCTTAAGTCTTCTCATAGTAAAGGCAGTTACGGAAAACTGACTTGCTATGTGAGCGCTACTAAAGCCTTTTGCCAAAGCGGTGTTCACAGGGGAGACAGCTTTGCATACAACCTTACATAGGACACTTGGCTGTTAAACAGTCAGGAGGAGCAACTCCCTGCCTTCCCCCACTCCTCAGAGACCAGCAGGATCACCTTGGCAGAGATGACATCCTGGCTTTCTCCTCCAGGCTCCTGCTTACAGCAGGGTCAGCCCTGAGGTCAGGCCAGGTTACCCAGGGCTTTACCCGGTCTGGCCTTGAAAACCTCCAGTGTGCTGTATTTTGCTCCTAAAATACAATGCCTCTTTGCGCTACAGCACTGAAGTACTGGCCTTTCGCTTGCAAAACTAGTGAGCACGGAAACTGTTACATGAATCTTCCAAAAATACATGGAAATTTACATCAGGTTATGTAGAAAATGTATTCTTGTAAATTCACAAGTTATTTTGGGGAAGATTATGCTTTTTTATTATTGTTGCTCATCTTGTTTAATATAAAGCAAGCAATGCTTAATTCTAGAACATCTCAAGTTCTGGGCAAAGCCTCTTGTTTTGTCTATTAACGTTCTCTATGTGAGAAAAAAAATAACAAAATCCAGCCTGTTTTCAACAGGGGCTTGTAAGGGGCCCAACTCATAATCCTACTACAAAGGCTGGTGTTTGCCGCAAGCAAAGCTTTTGGCAGAACCCTGCCATCATCCATCCTTCAGCATCCTACCTTTCATACGTGAGCTGGGAACCAGCTGCCAGTTTTTTCATGATCCTACTTTTTAAGTACATGTGCTTTCATGATGCTGCTTACCACTACCTATATACGTCATTTACAACAAACATTCACTTGTAGTCATTGCTGCACTGTAAAACTAAACCATACAAAAATATATTTTACCAGAACCAGCTGTTATTCATCCATCACTTTGAAAGGGCCTTGAAATATTAAGTTTATTCTTTGGCTTGTAATATAGATATTATTTAAAAATATATAATCTAGCTGATTTCACAGCTATGAGAAAGCATTAACTGTCTTTTTTTTTTTTTAAATTTAGATCCTAAACAGGTAATACAGAAGAAATATTTAAGGTTCCCAGAAAAGATTGATTTTAAATAACAGACTCAAGGCTACAGAATATGCTGCTAAGGGTTAGCTGCAATGGGGCTTGCAACAAATCCTCAAGGGAGTGCTCTGTATTACCTCAGAAGTTTTAAACAGTGAATACTTTTGTTATTGGTTAACAGGTGTATGAATTAAGTGTGCATTACAAATGCAAACCATGCATATCAAACCAACTTTGTAATTTTGCAACAGTCTCCACACATGACTCAACAGCCTGAAAGTGCTCAGCTGCACAAATCCTTTGTGAGCAGAGCTGGATGCAAATCTGTGTGTGCGGGGGTATCCGCACAGGCACGTGCTCGTTATTGGCAATGGAGACATTTGAAACAGTCCTCTTGTAATCAGATGCCTTCCCCTTAGCAAAGAGACACATCCTGCCAACTGAGTAGAAGCAGTCAAGGTGCAACTATGACTTGAGGGTGGCATTACGCTGCTCCAGTTGTTTCCGTATTTGTGACTAGAACAGAAAGACAATCCATTAGTGTTTGCCTATGTGGATGAGTAAAAAAAGACAAAAGACTCAAAGTTACTGAGTTTTAAGTAACTAATGTTTTCAGGCCTTTACATTGTCTTCTCATTGTTTGCTTCATGACCCAACACACGCAGTCTGTGATGCTCTATACTGTTTACAGTCTTTGTGAGCTAACATCCTTAAAGGTAAAAATTGTTTCTTATTCATAATCAGGATATGTTAAAAAGGCACCCCAAAAATGCTAAAGCAGGTTTGCAGGCCTGCATGCGTTACCTGAAAACTACGTATTTATTCCAGCCCAGTTGGCCTGGAAGGCAGAACAACTACTCCCGTCTTTGCAGATACTGGGAACTGTAGCACTTCTGTGCTAAAATATTGTTTTATTATAGCAGTATCAAGGCTACTGCTGCCTGAAGCATATTGCCATTTAATATTGGACATCATCTTACCAGTTTCCATCGCAATATTTTAATCCACTCATCTGCTTCTATTCCAGTTTTTGCACACAGGTAGTATGTCCTTAGTGGGAACACTAAGCTGTAAGTAAACAATTAAACTGTTTCTTAATTTGCTAGAACAATCAGCAGTTCGTCGTAAAACTTGAGCCCATCTGGCCAGTACCCATGTTTGTTAAGACAGAGAAGTGGAGTGAAGCTGTGTATAGTCACCAGAAGAGAGGTTAGCCAAGAACTGCTTACGGTCCTTTACAGATTGGGGATATGCTGTCCTAGGCCCGCACAGAGGAAGGACCCGCATTTGGGCACAGAAGTGGTTACTGTGTGACCTGCAGCAGTATTTGAACTCAGGAGCTGGGTGAGGACCTTACCTCAGTAACAGTTCCACAGGCCTAGGCAACGATTACATGAACTTAGGGAATTAGGAAGGGAAACACACACAATATAGGCCTACCCCCTTCCTATTCACCAAGAAAACCCCTTTTGATGGGGTGATCCCTGCAAAGCCATGCAGGACTCACGGAGGTTTGGATGACAAAACCAGAGTCACGAGTGAGAGGGAGATGAGCACTGCAGCTATCAAGGGAGCTTTCAGGAGCACCCAGCAGTTATATTTCAAACTAGCTATTCTGACCTTTCCAAAACGGTAGGAAAAAAAATATAGCAACTTACCAGAAACAATTGACTCTTTCCTGGGAGTAGTCAAATTGCACAGCTGAGCATTCAGTTAAGTCTAGTGCCCGAATTGGTTCTGTGGCCTTGAAAATAAAATGGTGTTAAAATGGAAACATATGGAAACAGAAGCTAAAACTATTTAAGCTCCTCTTCAGTGCATATGGACCTTTATGAGCACACTACTTGTTTCCAGGCATAGGTGGTACAGCTACAACACTGTAAACCCAAACTAGCAAAATTAATAGCAGTGCTACTGTGAGAAGAGCTCAGCTAAACATAAAAAGCAGGTCAGTCAGTTTAGGTCTAGACAAACAACAGAGTATGGCACTACCACAGAATATTTAGAGCTAGAGGCAGACTGCTGAGGGTTTGGTTGATGTATTATAACATAACCAATGCAGTAACAACTCTTGATATTATTTCCAGCTAAAATATTACTTTCATAGAGACAGGGAATGTTTATAGGTCTCATCAGGGGTTTGGCTTAACCAGCTGCTGGAGATGTAATTAATTCCTAAAGTGCTTTTAAAGGGATGAAGCTGGGAAAAGAGAAATGCAAAAGGAGAGCTGGAGCAGCAGCTGCTACAGCAGAAGGGATGGTTTTGACTGAATGAACGTGTGTACCCAACTTTCTTGGGCCAGGCCAAGAAGTGCTTGGGTCCAGCGATGGAGACTGTGCACAACTGCCACCTGTCTCTCTTAAAAGTTTAATTCTTCCTAGGTGTGAGAATCCTTTCCTGATTTTTTTCTCTCAACCTCACCATGTTGAGCACCTTATAAGAGTCAGCTGAAGGGGAAGAACAGCTTCCTCTCTGCCCAAGCAGCCTCAGCACTCACAATCTCTGACCAGGTATGCGGCGTACATGTTGTTTCCCTATCTCCACTATACTAGTTAAATGCTACGTTAGAAGAAAACTGTTTGTGCTGAGATAGATGTGTGAGGGCACGCTGTCCCAGGGCCAGTGGTAAGCTGCTCACCAGTAGGTATCTGCAACCCTGCAGAAACAACAGGAGCACCAGGACACAGCTGGAGCTGCTGCCTGGGAGGAGGCCGTGTTTCTGACAAAGACACCCTCTTGCCTGGTAGGTGACAAATGCTGCTCAAACACTCAGTGCTCTGCACTCTGAAACATTATCCTGGAAACTTAAGTCAAGTTGGTTTGAACTGCAGTAAAAACTAATGGAAGGCCCATAAATAAATAACTGCTTATAAATGATAATGTTTGGGGAGAGAGGACAGTTGTATGTTCTTGCGTTAAAATCTGTTACGTGTCTGGAATGGGGCTGGGCAGAGGTGTGAGATACAGAGGTGAACAGTTTGGCTGCATTTACGGTGTTATTTATGGTGTTACGGCTGGAGAAGTTCTAGAGGTATGTCCTATTTTTATGCAGTTTAAGGTAGAAATAGAGTAGCAACTGTAAGGACAAACTATCGTTTCCAGATGTAACAGTTTAATCTATGGCAGAATGCTGTGAGGGAGGAACTCCCTAAATAAGGGCCACCACAAACTGCGCAGCCATTTATTACATAAAGAAGAGGAAGACATACTTCTAGCGTTTGCAGGTATGCCCTAATAACCACGCTGTCTCTTAATTTGTCTGTCTAAGCCACCAATGAAAGCTGCGTTGTGCTGGAAGCTTAAAACTCACTGGACAAAGCAATCAGTGCACTGCAAAGAACTAGTAGGTATGACTAAAGGAGCACAGTAGAAGTTTTCTATCCATAAACCTTATTAACCTGTTCCTGTTAAAGTCTTCATCAAAACTCTGCCCTTATTTGAACAGATCGGATCCCTCTGACAGTATGGAAGTTTTAGCTTGAAAGTGGTGATACATATGTGAGAAGCCAGAGGTGCATGGGAGCTGCAGCTGCCTCTGCAGAGATTTAAAGAGTAGAACTGGTGTTTGCTACTTACTGTCTGATCTTTGAAATACTTCAGTTCATTCCTATGCAGTGTAAACCACCTTGTCTTCCAGTTCTGAAAGATCAAGAAAGGACGGTAATTGTCTTGTGAGAACTTCAGTGTAACACTGCTTAGGGAAGAAAAACCTTTAAAGCTTGCTCTGGTTTGCAGTCTTGCTTTGTTGTCTCCAAAAGCACCAGTAATTATTCCTCTCTATAGAGGAATAGAGGTGGAGTTATTTCAGCTCCACATCATCTCTAGCTTCTGTGTGTGATTACAGGCTGGAAGCAAGGAACAGAGGTTTCCTTACCTTGACTATTTTGCCTTGTTTTATCAAATATCCTTCTTTTGTACCAAGCTGTGAAGTAAGAAGGAAGGGGATCAGGGTTAGAGACTGAGCTCTGCTTGTATTTCCCACATCCCCCTCTTGTCCTATACCCGTAAGATAGGACGGCAGCCTGCTCTCGGGCAAACTTCCCATCACCGCTTGCTCCATCCTTGCTCCTGTAGGTGCTGCTCCCCTTGCACAGCTGGATTCCCCACTGGGGTCCACAGGGAGCTGGGCTAGCTCTCACAGCTACCTGTGAGACCATGCTTCTCTCTGTGCGAGCTTCTGGCTCGTACCTTGTCAACCAACTGCAGTAAGCACTTGCAATTAAGGTTTAGTTTTACTTATAAGTTAGTTTGTTGTTTTTGTGTATGTTGTAACCAGAAGCACCTGGGGTCTGCTGGCCAGTGGAATTAGACACAGCAATTGCTCTTGAAATACCAGAACTTGGAAAGAATGAAATGTTTTTAATTTAGGCATTTTCTTCTTAACTTGGGGGGCGGGGGCAGGGCTAAGGGAGACAAATTGAAAGGTGGTGTGTTTTTTTTAATTTATTGTTATTTTTAAGTCACGTTCTAGAGAAAACTGTTAAATTCAATGTGCTTACTGAAAAATTGGCTTTTGAACTGCTTCACTGCCATCATCAGTGACCCTGGGACCCTGTGGCTTCTCAGATACCCACTGAAACTCTATGTATGGATCTAATTGTGAGACTGTTCTCCTCTAAAAACTAGATTCTTGCCGAGTGAATTGCTATTTGCTCTTGAATAATAATTGCCTTTTTATTGGTTGTATGTGAAAGGGTCATGTTTCTTTGGAGGTAAAATTGGAACCCAACTATGAATGGTTGAGAGAGACATCAAAACAGTTTTTTTTTCTTTTAATCACTTTGTGCTAATCCTTATTAATGTAACTCTTTCTCTTTTTCTCTTCCCCCCCCCCCCCCCACCCCCCAAAAAAAAAATGAATATAGAATTAAAGTACCTTCTTCTTTGCTCTGGGCACTACTGTCCTAGACAACCCACCTGTCTTGCTCAGATAGGAAATACTAGGGATTTAAAGTCCCTAGTACAGTCCCTAATTACTGTCCAAGTGAGTCACAGACGTCAAAGCAACTGGCCCAAATGGATATGAAGATGTTTTCTTGCTTTTCGTACCAGTAAGGCATAGCTTCTAACATGACACAGCTTTTTACTGTGCTCATAATTATCAGGGCTGAAAGTATGGAGGCTCTTCTCTATCACGTTGCTTTCTCTATGTTGGGCATAAGTGTGTGGCAGAATTTAGCAAGTCATCTTTGTGCTTTAGGACAAGGTGATTCTAAAGTTTTGTTTAAAAAAAAAAAAAATCAATGTGAAAATGCCAAAACCCTTTTTATTATAGTAATGTACCTGTTGGGATATAGGCACTCTGATTTAACCTGTGTGAATCATTTTTCAGTTTGGGTCTTCCAAATGTGTCCCTGTCTGTTTGGCTTTTCCCCAACCCACCCCCTCCACCTTCCTTTCATAGGGTCACTTTTTAATTAACCTAGGAAGTTAGAGATGCTCTTTCCTCCCTCCCTGTTAGGAAGGGGGCTGTATATTGCTAACTACTAAAATGATAAGAAGCAGCGAGTATGTCTAGTACCACTAGCTGTTTCCTGTCAACTAATCCTCATATTCACTGAGTGAGAGAAAACGTAGCAAGTCTTGTAGCTGTTTCTCAGTTTCACTATTTACAGTATTCCTCCTCTCACCTCTGGAGAGAGAGAAACTTCCCACTGACTGTAAAAGACGTTTGCCAAAACAAGTGCTTACTGTGCAGCCTGACACAGGTATTATTGTATACAGCGAGGATCTTTCTGATCCTCGTCAGAAAGATGTGAGAAGTGTTACACTTGTTTTTTGGGAGTGTGTGGGGGTTTTTTCATTAATTTTTATTCCCAAAAATGTTACTTGGAAGCTTTAAGCTAACATTCAAACGAGAAGATAACACAGAAGAACTGTGTTCAGATGGCCAGACTCCTGTACGTGTAATGTACAGTTACATGTCCAGGTAATGTTTTTCCACTGATGGCACCGAAGGTCTCGGAGACAGAGTGTGAAGGGCCTTATTTGTCATGGGACTGTATCTAATAAGACTATTCTGCTATGATTGGCAAAGACTTCCTATGTTTAAGAACCGGTAAAAGGATCAATTACTGGTGTTATTCCATAGCGCACTTCAGCAATCATACTAAACTCGGGCTGGGAGAAACCCTCCTCATGCCAGAACACAACTTACTGAGGGAGCATTTGGAACAAGATCGTTTTCTGTCCTTCCTGTCTGCATTGCTGTGTGAACTCGGACGGACTCATAAATGGAAGGTTCTTCAACTTTCCGTGGATAGGGATGCTTCAGTACAATTAAGGTTCCTGGAAAGAAAAAAGAGAGCAGTGAGCAATAAGGTCAGGTGTATTGCAGGTTCTTAGCAAAAAGCTGCCTTTTATTATATTTGCAATAATGAACAACTGCCTTAGAATAGTAACTGCTGTAGCATCTAATCTCACTGTTTTTAAATAAGTGAGATAATGTCCTAGCATAAGAAATGCTGCTAAATTTGCATTTTGTGCTGATGTCGTCAGCTTTTAAAGAGGAGGGATGTTGGGGTTGCTAAGAATTGGACTTGAAACCTAGAGATGACTTGAGTCATTCGAAAGTAAAATATAGTTTAATAAGTTACGTTTTGTCATGGGAAGGGCTATAAAGGGAAGTGGAAAAATAATATATGAAGTAACCAACTGAAATCTGATCACAGGCACAGGGGTGTATGCAAATGTGAGATATTCAACTTAGAATAGGTCCAAAGTCAGAATCAACTTAACTTTCCCTAGTTCGGAGAGGGGAGAAAGCTTTACCATTTAAAAGGAAGTTGACAACCTCCATCATCAGTCTATGGAAACTGCTCCTAACCTGTTGCGTAGGCTCAGTACTATCATATGTACATCACAGAGATCCTTATATCAGAACTGGAAGGACCTCTTATAAGAGGTTTGTTTTTCTAGTAAGCTCTCCACCTTTTTTCCTCCACAAAAAGATGCTTTTACAGAGTCATTCAGTAAATATTTAAGAGAACTAGTAAAAGCTGATCCAGCTGCCCTCTAGCAGTCTTTCTGTGTGTTTCTGAGTCTTTCTGTATGTTTGCATTTCTAAGGAAGAATGAGAACTAGTATGTAACCACATTATCGGAAATTTTAGGCAAGTTAAAGTTACTTTGACTTTTTTTGTCTGGCTTGTGACTCAAAGTTCCTAAATATATTCCAAATATAGTTTAAAAACAGGTATATAAAGCAAATGGGTAGGAATAACATTTTGACCTTGTCACTTTGAATAAAGACAGAAACATGACAGCATATTGCTTTAAACTTGTTACTGAATAGTCAGCTGTCTGTTCAAGAAAAAAATCTCATGGACAATACTAGCCTTAATTTCATTTTCATTATCTGTAGTTCAGGAGGAAGCGTACACGTTACAGTGTAGAAAAATAGATGTGAATCCATGTAGCAATTCAGAGTGGAAATGAAGCTGTAGTCCGATGGGGCTTGCTGGGCTTGGAGCCCAACCCTGCAGCTGTCCCCATACAAAAGAACCGCTGCATGTACGGACCAGTTTGCAGTGTTGCAGCCCAGTGTGTTCAAGCACTGTTCCGACAGCACCTAGTGAGCTTCTTCCAGAGGTAAAAATAGCTCCAATGAGGGGAGAGGTGGCGGGAAGTAATGGTTTCCACTATCTTCTATTTACATATTGCAACTCTTGGCGTCTGTCTTATAAATTCCTGTCCATAAGCAAGCCAGAGATGAAGAGTATTCTCCTTAACTCTGCTTTGCCCTGTCTCAATCCTGAGCTCACAATTTTTCTACAGCAAACTGCTTAGGAATGTAACAGTGAATAAAAAATTGGTACAACAACTCTCTACTAATGCCTGAGTCTCAGGTCATTTGCTGCCCCTCGCTGAAAGGAAATGTGGTTGAAGGGGTAGGCAATGGGAGCCTGTTCCTGGCTCTTCTGCTGACCTGCTGTGTGACCCTGTGTGGGGCCAGTTGTTCAGCCTCGCTGATGCTGGCTTTAGAGTCGGCCCTCATGAGCCCCTACCCCCTTCCTGGCATAAATCGCATGCCACTCAGGAGAGCTCTGACATCTGTATTTGAAGGAGCATTGCCTGAGTGCTAATTCTCTCTTCCTATTTATTGCTGTCCGTAGGAAGAAAGGGCAGAAGGTTCCTTGATGTGATGTTCAAATGCCTTTTTCTGCTCCATAGCATGCCTAGCTTAAATTAAAGAGATTTCACAGAGCCAGCAGAATCTGATTAGGGAGCTTGAAGTTGACAAGTGACCCCATCATTCAGCAGTGTTGATCCTGTCCACGGAGATCACATAACATCAAATCCTTAATTACTAATGTCTGTAACAGAGGCAGTGAATATGTGCCTGAATATTTCTGTATGTCATCCAAAATCTTTACAAGGTTAGGCTTGTATGTCTTTTTTATTTTTTTTTTTTGGGGGGGGGGGGAATAGCTGTTTGCACAAAATATATGCTTAAGCTCTGCTCTAACCACTCTTAAAACTTAAAGAGAATGCTTTGAAAGATACAAGTGCAGTGTTACAAGTTCCACTGCATTTTTCTTCTAAAATATCTTACCAAGTAACCCTACTGTTTAATGCTTGTGATTCAGTTGAGTTAAAGACTACTTCTGTATATTCAGTGTGTGTTATGGCTATCTGTCTGCCAACTATTATTTAACTATTTACATATATAATCGGGCACTACTCTACATATCAGTTGCTTGCATACACTGTCTACATGATACCTTTTTTTGTCCCCTTTTCTTCACACTAACTTGCACTGACTTTTAAATCTTTAACTTCTACATTCAAGCTAAACCTAAAACTGTCATTATCATGCTAATATGCTTCTGCTTCTCCTGAGTGCCACCACACTGGAATCCCAAGCCATTTGTAGGAATCGAGTTTAATTTTTTGACTATTAATTCATTGACCATTAAAAAAATCCAGTGCTGCCTTTTTTTTCCCCCCTCTTAAAAACAAAGTGAGTCACTGTGATGGGGTGTGGAATCAGCAAGCTGATCCTCCATAGCCAGGAAGAGGCAGAGAGGTAATACAGGACACATCCCCTACAGTTATCTCACTGCAGACTACTTCCTCAGATGAAGAACAGTGCAGCTAAACAATTCCAAGTCCCTCCTCTACTTATCCTTATTGGGGGGGGATTTCAGCTTTATATTGGATAATTTATTCTCTAACCAATCAAACACCCTGCCTTGGTTTTGGCCTTTTTGGAAAGGTCCTGCTACTCTCGTAAATAAAAAGAGTTCATGTCCCTGGCTAGCAAGATCCCAGTAAGTTTATATGTAGTTTGTCTTTAGGGTACTTGGAAAAGTCTCTTAAGGGGGATATCCTAGATATCTGAGGTGAATGCAAACAAGAATGTCTGAAGAGGAACCCATCAGCCACAGATGCATCAGATAAAGATCTGAGTAAAAGGAGCTTGTGATGCATTACATGAAGTATGGCAAAAAACATATTTGCTCTCCTTACCTGTCTCGCTTCCAATTAAAGGCTGATTTGCAAAATGCATGACTAATTCCTTCAAGTTAGAAAATTCATTAAATCCAAATTTGAATGTAGTTCCTGTATGTTCCACATGAAAGTGTTTCACAGAATCTTTTCCCCTACAATGAAAAAGGAAAATCTGTCAAGGCATAAATGCCAAAGACATTTGAGTACCTACAAACCTCGAACAGCAATTTTCACTGCAGGCAATCTGGACTTGCAGACCCTTTTAGGGTCTGCTTCACACAGTAGACTGCAGTACAGCAGACAAAGGACTCTACAGATTTAAGGTCGAGAATCACTGTCCTAGCAGTAATACCAGTGTTACTGCCATCCTTCACAAATATTGGACACACTTGAAAAATCAGATTTGTTTAAAAAATAGTAAGTCATTGCTGTTTTTTGCAGATGAGAGACAGTGAAACCCTGGAAAAGCCAAGTAGGTTGAATTAACTCATGTTGCAAAGAGGCAACAAGAGTTATCAACATGGCTTCCAGTCCTCTAAGCAGGATAATACTCCCTCGAGTACCAGGCTTTAGCTCTGATGGTGTATCTACACTGCTCAATGTGTGTCTTGTCAGGTATCCTCCTGATCTCACTGAAAACGTGGTCGTCTTTCAAAATTAGACTGCTTCTCTTTATGTACCCACGAATGGATTTAATAATGTGACTTTAGACATCTAAGCCTTTCATATTTTTTTTGAAAAGTCTTTTCAAAAGTTTGCTTTGTCTCTGTACTCATATGAGGGGTCTCTTTATAGTGGGCACTGTCTAACGTGAACTACAGTTCTCTTTCTGTTAGGGCAGTCGTATCATTTGTTTATGAAAGTTGATGATATTTAGAGAGGTGTGCAAGGCCTCACTTCTGGGATGGGCACTTATTTTTATTTCAGAAGTTAGTGAAGCACTTAGCTGCCTCACAAGGGAGGTGCTCTATTTCTGTTAATGTTATTGCTAGCACCCAACACAGTCCAGACAAAAATCAGGCTCAGGAAAAATATATGTAGCAAATACGCTGAAAACATTGTGAAGAAAGGGATCTATAATGTATTCCTAACAAGTGGTCAAACAAACATACATCTTTGAACTATACTTGAGACACAAATGATATTGTAGAATATGCCTCTGTCAGCTTCTCTTGCGCTTTGCGCTATCAAAACACTTTTGCCTTAAGTCAGCTCAGACTAGCGTGTGAAGCAAAGTGCAGATGGCCAATACACCAGATAGCTGCTGTGACTGCTGTACTGACAAAGTTTTCATCCGCTTTCACAAGACTAACAATGTTGCAATGAGAGCAACTTTACTCTATTGCCTAGTTCCTTTTTAAAATTGGCTAATTTAGCTGGGGGAGGGGATTTCAGTCTACGGGATCCCTCTCTAGCTTCTTACTACAGATATGTCAATAAAAATCCCAAGCACTGTTTCCTATTAAAACAAACCCTAACAATGACTGAAGTTTCTAGGGAGGCAGAGGCAGAAAATAAAGTAAAAACTATAGAAGGAATTTAGGAGAAAAGGACAGTGACAGTCAGAATTGCTAAAATGATCCTTTCTATAAAAATGTATCAGAACAAAATCAAACCACGTTCTCCAAAACAATTTCTGTATTAGTCAAAAAATGCAAAGGAAAACTTAGAATTAAATGGGCAAATGAGTAAACGAAACATTTTAAAGTGAAAATCAGTACTTCAGGGGAGTTGTACCACCACAAAACTAATTTAATGGAGTAGAAGATCAGGCTCTGGACTCTGGTTTGGGATACTCTGTGCATCTAGTAATGCAGTAAGTGATTCTTAACCCTACTTGGAGAGCTGAATAAAATACTGGAATTGGCCTGAAGTAGACTCTTCCAGGTATTTTAAGCCTAGACTTAAAGCGGTGAATTTATTTTGATCACTTGTTTAACACTTTAGCTTTTATTTCCTATTAAAAGAACAATTTAAATTTTATTTTATTGTAATAGGTTGTTCCCCGAATGCTCTTGAAAAACAGCTTCAGGATTTTTTTTGAAAAATTGCCTGGAGTAGAATACTATAAATAATGTTTAGTTATACTTTACAGGCAAAAATATGAACTATCAAGATATTCTTTCGTTTAAATTATTTTTTTAAGCAGTGCTATTATTTATATATCCTACTGTCCTGTTTCCCAACATTTACACCTAATTTGGCCATTATTACTCTGAATATTCATTCTGTAACTCCACCCGCAGACCCCAGTCAGGGCACACGCACCCCTGCATCCCCCTAGCTTGTCGTATAAATGACCGTCTCTAGTGGTAATATTTCAGGGGTGCGTGTATGGGAATACTTGCTCTAGGGCCTTCTATCAGAGGTCAGTGAAGCAAATTTTATTTGTCTTTCATACCTCTATGGAACCGGGTATGCACAAATTGCACTTTCCTGTTTGCAAACGACTACATTTCCAAATTGTAATGGCTCCTGGTACTGGCACATGGAAAATCACTAATCTCAAGGGCATGTGCTGTGTTCTTGTCTATTAGGGTTGTGAATAACTAATGGAATGCATCTATCAAAGTGACCTTAGCTTAAAAAGTTACTGTGATTCAGCCGAGCTGTGGTCACTAATCATCTGTAGGCTCAGTTTAGGATAGAAATGAGGTCAAATGCACTAGCTTAAACTTTAATAAAAGAAGCTTAATGTGTCTTACACGTTTGCCAAAGGCTAAGCATGTACTCAGGGCTGGTTATCTCCATTCAGCTGACATGCAGCGGCTACCTTGTGTGTCTAATACATGTCTTCTGTATTGTCCCTCTTAAAATTTTTGGCTTCTCTGCATCTTAGGAGGGTCCCTTAAATGTGATTCAGTGGTGAGCTACACAGGCTAAAGTACGCATGCTCTGTATAGGCTGCACTCTTAACTGATGTAAACTGCTGTAATTCTGGTGACTTCAAGGGCGTGGTAATCGTTACCCTGAGATATTGCTCAAATCAGCTGTGCACTACTGGCTAAAACAGTCTTAGCACAGAATGGAAGAGGCTCACTGTAAAATACTGCATCGTCTCCCAGAGACGATGGTTCCTATACAGTGGAACAGGTACTGTGAACTGCATAGGAACGGATTGTCCAGAAACTGGTGGTGGAGTTATCACTTGTTAACTGTATATTTAGTACTGTAATCTCCTCATCCCAAAACCTTTCTACTCCCATCAGTCTGTTTCGTGAACTCCTGCAACTGTCATATAGATTTTTTTTTAACCGCACAATGCACGAATGAACCTCTAAAATCAGTCCATCCAATGATGTTTTTTCCAGGAAGATGAATTCATAATTTGGAAAAA